ATTCCTGTTTTTTTCCGGTAATAAGCACTTACAACAGATATTTACTATCTATAGAGAGGCAAGATGAAGCTGCTAAAACTCTTGATACAGCTTTGGCCTAGGCTGCACTTGAGGTTACTCTTGAACTCTGCCTTCAAAAATCAAAACTTCTTTCAAAAAAGAGGTTCAGATACTTCAGCATACTAGAGTTATGTTTAATGATGGATACATAGGAGCTAGTCTATAGCAAGAAGGCAACTAGCCCACTATTAAGTTTAGCACTGTGACTTGGGCACTACGACTCAAAAAACAGTTTAACCGACAGCATGCACAAGAGAACAATTTCAGAAAAGCAGCTGAAATGTATTACTGCAGTTAGCCTGCCGTTCTTGTAATACCTTCTCCTATTCAAATACTCTTGCAATATTGGTATCATTTAACCACTATAAAAAGTCCTCTAATGGCAAAAATCTGGGGGTAATCTGGCACAAAACCTTCCCAACAGCGGACTGCAATTTTCAAGAAACTATCTAGCCTGGAGAAACTCGGGGCAGGACACTGCAAATCAACGCTACTTGCACAGACTGGAAAGCCTGCTTAAGGCACACATGCTGAACACTACTTTTTGCTAAAATGGGCAGTACAGATATGCTGTATTTATAACAGTTGAAACAAGTCACAGTAAAATAGCTCCAATTCCCATTTTAGGCAAAACATCCAAAACCTTTTATAATGTTGATGGAAACAATGTTATTCCATCCTTGCAAACAGTTAAATCATTTGGAACATTACCTGAGGGAGACTGGCTGCCAACAGCCTTCGTCCTCTATAGCCCAAATTTCCTAATGCAAACAGTCTTGAGAGACTACTTTTCACCCAGCTATTTGTCCAGACTCTTGGAATATGACCTAATTGGTGGCCAGAGATTCAAGATATGATGCAAGAACTATATTTTTGTTTAGCTTTGGTCATTTTGTATGCTATTTTCTTTGGATTTAACTGTTCATTAGGTTATTTTTATTAAAATTCACAGAAAATGACCAATAGTTGGGACAAAACATCATTTCTTGGGTGTGTTCTATTCAAGCTGAGCATTCTAACTCCTTCTACACGTAAGAGTTCCACTTTTTTTTTCTAATATAGAAAACAGTAATTTAGATTACAATTAATGTGATCTAAATTTTATCCCATTCTATTTTGTTTATGTTTCCTAACATAAGAAATATTCTATTACAGGATCAAAAAGAAAGTTGTATCATATATGTAAACATATAGGAATACAAGGCCTATAACAGTAGCCAAATGGACTCAATGATGAAATGTAATTAAAAGTCTTTAAAAACCACTGTGTCAATCTATTAAACTTGTACATATCAATTCATAAAAGAGTTCAGTTTCAAAATAAGCATACAAGAAGAAAAGAACAAACAATCCCATTTTTGGGCTACCAGTAAAGTCATGTCAGGCTTAAAAAAAATAAAAATAAATAAATATAAAACAGACAAACAACGAATCTACCAAAATATTATTATTTTTAAATTAAAACATGGCATTCTGGAATATATTTTAATTATAACTTGTATAGAAATAGTTATATTGTGTTTAGCAACATTATTTTAAAAAAAAGGTAATTCAAGTAATATATTAGTTTTAATATATTCCATTAATCCTCATTAGAAAGAAATACATTCCAGCAATTTAGAATAGGATAATACAGTAATTTACTTTTCCATAAGGCTTAACAGGTGTCTACAGAACTTGTGACAAACGTCAAAACGTCTGAAAAAACGTCAAAAATCACTTCAAAACGTTTCTTGAAGACTTTCCTTTCCTCCTTGAAGGTGATAGGATATGTGTTTTGCCCAATACATAGAACATCAATTAATTGATTTTTATGATATATATATTTTTCCAAATATGTATGTGAAATTTTTAGAAGATTAGAATAATCTTTTAGCATCTTGTTTCAAACCCTACAAGAATCTAAGAGAAAAACAGGACAGAGCACAACACTGCAGGAAAAGACTATTCAATTGACATTTATCCCAATGCTCAAAAGAAATGAGCAGGAAATGATCACTTAGTTATTTTTGATGTCATTGTGCATTCTGTTGAGTTCATAGACTCTTTTACTGAGATCTGATACTAGCAGACATTGAATCATTTTGTTTAATTCTACTGTTCACTTCTTAACTTTTGATAAATACAAACTATTTCATTCAGTACTCATTTATACCAATACCGAGAGAACAGAAGAGTTGTAGTTCAAATTAGTATAATTTTAACTCAACTATAAATGTAAATTCTCATTGTTAATGTAAAACCATAATTTAGAATAATGTGCATTTAAATACAGAAGACAGAGGATTTATTTTGTGAGCCTGTTTTCACACTGTAGCCTCTACATATCCACACATGAATCGCCTGAGGTCACCACAGGGAAGTGTGATGCTGTAAAGTAAGGCAATATAAAATGCCAATTAGATTTTTTTTAATGTTAAAGAACAAGAATATAACAAACAAATGCTATTCATAATATGTTTAGGGAAATGTAGGTCAATTGACTTGGTGAATTTTATTTACATAGCTAATCATGACCTTTTGTTCATTAAATGAAATTTCCTGAAACCCAAGTTTTGCAATTAGATTTGCAAGATACTGTATTTTAACAAATATGGTTATTAAAATTTTCCCCCGTTTTTCAAACCTAGAATTGTGTCATGACATTTTAAATTCAGAAAAAAAATTACTAAGGCATCATACTAAGTTTACAGCGGAAATGACTCTAACATAGAAGAGATTACTTATTGTCATATGTGTGTTATAAAACATGAAATATAGAAACCTTAAGGAGTTTTCAAACTAAGTACAATTTTTTCAGTAGCCTGTTAAACGTCAGGTGTCTCAATCTGCAGTTACCATTACAAATGTTCAACTTTTAGATATAAATTACCAGCATTTCCTTTGGATCCCACGTTGTTATCAGAGCTTCAGAGACACACACAAAAAAAGTGTATACAATAAGGAGGAGCTGCTACGTATGATGGGAAATTGTTTTTTCCTGGAGATTCAAAAGCGACCTGAACACCAATGAAAAGCCCCCTTCTGCTGTGACGCATTCCCTCTAGAAGTCTTACAAAAATTATGCTATTGAATAATGTAAACATAAGTGTCAGGTTGCATCTAGAGTAACAGACCACACATTATGGAAGTACTTACAAGAAAAGATTGCCAAATTTCTGATCTGCTACTGATTAGCAGAAGAATGTTATGCATTTGTTCCTAGTTGTAATCTAACCTTCATGCATATTCAAAAGCTGGAGTGTATGTACGTAGTAACAATAAGCTTGCAAGCTTCTTTACAAACTTTCTTTAGTAGTATGGGTCTTAATGAAGAGAATTTGTATCATTCCACTACACAGAAAATACCTAGATCTCAAAAGAGCAAATTTGTTATAAATCAGAGTTCATATTGGTACTTGACCACAATATAATAATAAACAAGGTACTCATTATTTTGCATTGCGTAATACTTGGAATGTTGTATTTCCTTCACATACTTATGTTTTACTAATGTTCCCCTTTTAAAATGCATGAAGCATTTTTGCTTTGTAGTTCACATTTATACGGCTTTCCTAGAAGAGCACGGAATACCATACTGAATGCCTATTGTGCAGAAACAACCCTGCAGGCTGTATCATGGCAGTACGCAGGAGAAAACCCTTACCAATTTTTCATCAACTGTGATGAGTTGCGTGTCTCGAGTTTGGTTCTGTGCCAGCCGCCATGTGGAAGTGCTCAGTGACCTGCAGAGCAAGACTTGAAGTTAAAAAATGATTCATGCAATGAGAAAATAGAGGCAGACAAATCTTACATAAACAAGTTACTTTAACAATATCCGTCTTGTAAAAAAAATTGAAGAGGGAGAGATGAGGGCACAAAAATCCTTTTTCTCCCCAATTAGTTCTGTCTGCTGAGTTTTTGGCAGACTCCCACTTAGCAGTTCACAACAGGCTGCACTTTATGTCAGCCTACAGGCTCTCTGTCACAGAGAGACTGCCAGTGGCAAGGACTGTACTGCTCTATATGAATGTACAGTAGCTGGTTTGTCACGAACAGACAGAAAAATACGAGGCTGCTGCAAGCACTTCAAAACTCTGATCCTCAAAATGATGCCATCAGAGGAAAAAAATCCTAAATGTGTTTGTAATGACAGACGATTACCAAATTACAAAGGAAAAAAAATCTAAATTCATAATTCACAGTTTTTTGTCACTGAATGGGTAAATCTCAATTACTTTGCTTCATTTCTCTATTGGCTTCCAAGAAACACAATTCATCTTTTTTACAATTACTAAACCTGTAAGTTAGAGATGGAAATAAGGGACCTGATCCCACATCATTGGATTGAGGAAAAAAAAACCTGCCATTAATTTTCAATATGCCACTGATGTCAGGACTGGACCTTTTGAGCGCAAATCATCTTTGACAAAATAACTCAACAACAAGTGAAACAAGCCAAACAACTCTGTAGCGTGCTTCATGTTTAATTAAGGTCATTTTAAACAAATGAGGCACAAAAGCACAAGAATATACAAATCAAACAGTAAGAAAGACCAAATCACTTCAGTTTCAGTTGTTCTTCAGACTTGGGAAGTCAGACTTCCATGTGCAGATGCAAATTAACTTTAAGATTTTTATACAGGGTCCTTAAAACTGTCCTGCTAGTAATCCAACACTATTAGAAATAGCTATCTAATATCTGAAGAAACCAGTCATGTTATAAAAGCACCTTCAGAACTCCACAGTTCCTAATGGCCTATAAATGTTAAATCATCAGTAGTTTTAAAGGTGTATCAGGACCAGATAACTTGCACACAGTCATTAAAAACCTGTAAAATTAAAAGTGTGCATTTTCAGTAGCATTCATTTAGGCCATGAAAAGATGGAAAATGCAATGAGGGGACAACCCATGTAGCACATTCATCTACTTATGTCTTCTAATGCTCAGGTCCTGCTCCAATCTTTGTTGATTCTGCTGAGAATGCATTTGAAAATATGAGCTTTGAAATAAAATTACTCATAATACTTACAATAACAAAGTAGCTGTACTGCATTTAATATGTTAAATCAGTGAACATTAACTTTTCAGAAAAAAACTTAAATGGTAATGTTTTAAAAAGTAAACCCTACGCTGTGAAGCAATTTGAAATTAGTGATTATAAAGCAAATGAAACGAATCTTTTCAAACTAAGTGGGATACAGTTCAGTAATATGTCAAATGCAGATTTCCACAAATTTATACTCCTAATATCAGTCACATTCAGCCACTTTACATTTGACTTGCCACTAACAACAACAAAAACACTCTGCATTGTGAAAAATGAACTTAAAAAGCACAAAGTTTATAAAATCACCCAATTTTGTGATACAGACACATCTAATTCCTATTTGAACTGACAGGATTTGTCTGTAAGGGTACTTAGGAGAAAAAGATCAGATTTTCAGAGAAGTCAGGGAGCAAAAGAATTTCACAAACATGTGCATAATGAGCATTCTATGAGCCCCAAATCTCCTGACTATCATGGCAATAACACGTCAGTCTCAGACTACTTCTAGAGCAAGGCTGCCATTTTTAATTTGTACATAAAAGCAAAAAGTAAAAATACAATGGACTGATACCACAATATGCTCTAAAGGAATGGCTTCTAGATGGTCCTTCTTCAAAAGCACATCCAAGGAGAAGTTATCCTAAAAGTGTCTTACAGAGCACCACAACACTTGAGTCCCAAAGGCAAGTAGCTTAAGCCATACAATTTTCAACCTTAATCAAGGAAAAATGCTTTATAGGGAAATGAGTTTCAACCCTATCCCCATGTCCTTCCCAGTATTTTAGCATCCGAGCAGTATTCTGCAGTTATTCTAGACGTTCACAAAATGTTCTGCTCACTTTACTACTTTATCTGTGGTCAAAGCATCATATCGGGTTATGCAATCAAATTGTTCCTGTCTAGGTAGAAAGCAATCTAAGATTTGAACCAAGAAACTTTCTGAACTTTCCTCTATAGCAAGGGCTGTTGAATATGTAAAGGGGTAAATCTGAGTAATTATGCTGATCAAATTGTACTTTTTTCTTGTAATATAAAGAGAGCAAAATTTAGTATATTTGAGTTGCGGCCAGGGTCATTTGAAGAGGTATTAATTGGTTTTCAAAAGTAAATTGCTACAGCCTTCTAAAATGTCATTTGATTTTTGGTTTTTCTCACATGACTGTTCAGCAGAAAATTCTGTCTTTGCAGAAAACAGAGTCAACATCACCTCATACTACGATAGTTAATAGTTTATATACAGTTAGAACAGACAATGGAGAAACGAAATCAGAGTAAAGGTTGGCAGAATCACTCTCTGACCAATTTTCTGTGCCGGACAACTCTGTCAATGGGGATAAACTGCACAGTAGAAATTACGGAGTTCTGTTTATTAACTTAGATCAGTGTCTGCTCCTCTTCACTTTTCAAATTTGTTTTTCTTGTAGTACACAGTTTTGAAAAGGTCTCTCACTGGAATTTGCAATCTTGTATGGATTCCTCAATGACTTCTCCCCATTCTTAACATTACTATGAGCTAGAAAGACGGTTCTTAAGGAAAGTAGATTCTATTTGAAAATTGTTGGAAAACAGACATTTAGACTAGCAATCTGAAATGTAGGTCCCATCCTTCCTGACCCTTGGTGGCTCTTCATTGCATCAGATGTCCTTGCAGAAGTATTGAATATTCTTTTACAGTTCCATCCTCACAGCTCCCCTCCTTTCCTCTACTACAAGCCGCTAGAAAAGCAATCTCCTTTCGTCCTTTCTCCGGAAGCATTACGCCCCTTTATGAAGCATTACAGCTTCACTTTGTCCCATTTTACCTTTTCCTGAATGCATTTTCTTCTCCTGACAAATCACCCTGGACTGATGTCTTAAGAGCAGAAAGTTACATTTCTTACCCTGTTCTTACCTCCAATTTGAAATCACTACACTACAAAAATACTTTAAATAATGATAAATAGATGAGCAATAAAATTCTAAAGTGCCGAAACTATACAGAAATTTTTTGAAAGTAATAAGCCCTTAAATCTTCTAGGTTCATTGATCTACTACTCAAAATACAGAACAAATCACCTTCCCAATTACCACCTAATGTACAAAAGATGATAGGACTCTAAGCTGACCAAAGCTTTTCCATGGCTTTGCCATGTTTTTTTTATACAAAAAAAGTTTTTAAATCCAAACCACAGGTTTTATTAGAATTATTAGTCTTTTAGAACAGGCAAAAAAAGAATTTTACTAAAGTAAAATAAGTTTTATTAAAAAAAAATCACCCCTGTGCATTACAATCTTGCAGGCAGGTCATTTCCCAAAAGCTTAGTTTGAGGCTAATCAACTCTCCAGCTTCCTGGGCTGTAGCAAAACCTTACACAAACCGCTACGTAAATTATTTCTCTTTCTGCAATCAAGGAGGCCAGGCTACATGGCTGACTAAGACGCCAGGCTTAAAACAGCAGAAACTCAGGTAGTTAAGTTTTTCTCCTGCTGACCTGTTTTTCTGTGCCTCTTCCTTTAGATATACCTGGCATTACTCTTCTTAAATGATCACAGCCTTCTTTTGTTTGCTCTTTGTACATTAGAAATAATGAGGTATCTTCGTGTTCCTGTAAACATGGCTACAATCACCTAGCAGCTCCTCTTGCTGCAAATGGAGACCACCACTCAAAGCGATCATAAAAGAGGTACTTTTCCCCACCGCTGCTCCCTTCCAACATTGAACTGAACACTGTAAATGCTTTAAATTTGATCTATACATTCCAGTATAATCATTTTATATTGTCAACATCTAATGATCCCACTTATTATCACTTAATTATAATAATTTGAACAGTTAAAATGTAGTTTTGTATAATACAATTTTGTCTTTAACATCAACCTAATTATGGTCCAGCTTTGGCATGAACTTTGTTTTTATATCTACTCTGCATCTAGATATTTTTATTACATCTTTAGACTTCAGTTTTATAAATTTAAAAAGGGTTAAGACAACTCTTCCATAGTATACATTGCTCAAGAAAGACATGGTAAGAACTGAACTTTACATCCAGACCGGGCTATGGCAACAATTTCTTCTTTTAGAATCTGACAGTAAACTTAAATTTCTTTTCTAATGAATAGCAAGACAAGAATGGAAGCTCAGCAAAGTGTATACTCTGTGTTCTCCTTGATAATGTATAATTTTAATTATAAATATTTTACAATACATTAGTTCAGTAAGGATGAATGAATGGTGACTGCTGCACTACCCAGTGGGAATTTGTGAAGCTCAAAGACTTCCATGCATTTTGTATATTTTGGAAAAATATATCCTTAGGTCAGACACACGTGCCTCTAGAAAAAAAGTACTCCTTTTCCACAGTTGTCGTTCTTAGCATAGTCACAAAGAGGTTCTGCCTCTCTGCTAAAGAAAGGGAGAGGTCCATTAAGAAGCCATTTGAAATTCTCCATTCCCAGCTACTCCACCTAGACTATTTTCAGTTCTCCCAACAATCTTATCCCCATGCTAAGGGAACAGCAGAGTTTCCCATCTCCAGGGACCTTGTGTGTCTCCTCTTCTCTTTTTAGAGTAACTGTAGATGCCTCAGCTCCGGAGACCCCATTAGGCAGTTCTACTGAGCAGCAGCAATCAGTCAAAACCAGACAGCAAGTCTTTTGCGACATCGGGATGCAGACTTCAGAATACAATTCAATCATTAAGTTTGAAAAGTATTAGC